CTTGTTCCCCCCCCCCCCCCAAAAAAAAAAAAAAATTTGTGATAATCATTGTCTTCGATTTCTCTTAGCTTGGGACAACTGTAATACCCAGGAGAAATTGGGAACAATGGTTATGCACAATTTTGGGGGATAAACAAGATGCATTATGGACTGAGTGTAACGTTATGCATTTCGATGAAACCTTTCTCGGAAGGTGATCCGAAAAGAAACGTTACGTTTATTTTCAAACGGTAAATTGATTGACCGACATTGAGATCAGTTATTTCCGTTAACTACTTCAGACTCATGTCGTACACTGGAGATGAGCAACGACCATATGTTTGAAGGCAAACGTTTACAAAATCATATGATTCGCAGTGTTGGCGTTATTGATGCGGATACCTGTGGGTTATTTTGCTTCGAAGAACCAAACTGCGTCAGTTTGAACTTTAAGAAGTCAACGAGCCAATGTGAGCTGAATAACTCCACTTTTGAAGGACAAGAGTCGGATAAGCTGGAGACAAACGCGGATTATTTCTATCAAGGAGCCAAAGTAAGTTAGACAAGCAAGTAACATTTAATTCAAGGAACTTCAAAGACCAAATATCTCACCTCGTTAAAATTGGTCTTTCCCAATCATGCAGTCAGGTTGTTGCTCATGGCCAAAGTAAGGAGTTGTTGCAAGGGATAACTCGTTAAGCCTTCCCACTCACGTGCAGGAAAAACAGCGCTAAAATGGCTATTTGGCTATCCTTTAGAAAACCCGTTGAAGCGGTTTAGCTTTTCTTGTTGAATGAGTTTGTCAATCAAAGCCGCATAAGTCGGTTGAAACGCTTCTCCGATAAAAACTGGCTATCCTTTAATTTGACGCTGGACTTTTTCTACTTCGTGAATCGTTAACAGAGGTGTAGCGCTCGATTCGACTTGCATGTTTGGAGCAATTTTTCAAAAAAATATTGGTGATAGTAAGACTTTTTTCCTAGCAAACGCAACTTGCACGAAAGACAGCGAGGCCTACTCTGCGACCCTAAGTCGCCGTAATTTTAGGCGACTTAATTAAAAGTTAATGATTGAGGCTGAGTATTATGAAGAATTATGGAGATCGAGGAGGGTGTTATCCGTCGAGGCCGTAGGCCGAGGCGGATAACACCCTCCGAGATCTCCATAATTCCTCATATTATACGAAAGCCGAATTCAATAACTGTTTTATTATTCATTTAAAATAATTCCTAGTTTTAAAACATGGCTAAAACATGCTTACCTCCATCAATCCATCGATGTTCAGTTCATCTTCGATAGTGTACGTTTCGGTTTGTGCAGCTCCGCAAATATTCTCCAAACAGCAGATGTCGCCCTTCAAGTTGTCTTCTTGCTGTTCTTGCCATGTTTTTAGCTATTTTTTCGCCCAGTTCTTACTCTTGAAAAGAGTGAAATGTCCGCCATTTTTTCAAGTTCACAACCAAAACAACTCAACCTCGTCCCCAGGTCTTCTCGGTTAACGATGCCTTAACCTGCGAAATTGACGTCATTTCTTCGTTAAAGTCAAAATTCTTCCAAATTTGGTCATCAGTAACTGGTTATGGTGAATTAAACGTGTGCTTTTAGCCCGTGATCAGAATCGGAAACAGAAGATGTATGACAGAGATGGTCATTAGATATGGAAGAAGGCATTTATTAGTATGTAGGAAGACCCTCATTAGTATGGAGGAACGCACTTTTACCTAGCTAGCTAGACACTGACTAGGCACTTAATTGTAATATATGCAGGAAGGTCAAATTAGAATGCAGGATTAGGTACTTGCTAGGCACTTGCTAGACATCAACCAGGAGTAAAAACAACGAAGTACACTTACCAACGCGTAACTTTAATTTAAAAGGTGATATTCTTAATCAGGTGATTCTTCGTGTCCTAGAACGCATGCTTGAAAACCCATTGCAAGAACAAAGCCACCTGTCAAACCGGTTTTACAGAGAAAGGATACCACTGTTTGTGTACCGTTGGATTTAAAGGAGAGTACTGCGACATCGGTAAGTACCTTATTTGCGGGACGGCTTCTTTGACAGCTGCAAATAATGGTGAGTTAACGCAACAGGACGGCAGGAAGAAAAGGACAGTGAAAAACTTGTGTGTGACAAACGTGACAGGGTTATTTAACGTGCGTGTTTTGTCGTGATCTTTACTTAATTAACATTAACGTTTTTTGGTCTTTACAAAAACATCTGTTTAAAAGAAAATGAGGTTTGTTGAAAAAAATTAAGCTATTTCAGGAACAAAATTTTTGTCTCGCTTGTCACACAATGCTTACAGTCTTCTATCCTCTCCTGTCCGATTGCGTATAAGTTCATTCTTAAAATAAAATCTTAGTCGCTAAAGAAGTTTCCCGCCGATTTTCAAAGTGTGTGTTGCTAAGATTAATTTAATATGCAGCAAGCGTTTACTCGATCACTGAGTTATGGCTGGTTTACACGTTGTACGACAAAAGAAAACATCATGCTTCAAACAACATACTGATGAATGCCCTGTCGATGGTTTTCTTTTATCACGTGAAAAGGTACTAGTCATTAGGCCAAGCTGTTCGAAAGGTTAGAATTAAGCGCACATCTCAGTTTTCCCTATTAGATTATAAAGTCTTAGAATTGTCAATTTGATTTAATAGATCTCTGCTTGATAATAAAGGCTCTCGAAAGTATTTCATACTTTTCGTAGCCTCTACCAGGGTAGGGACCACCCGAAAAAATACCTGAAGCCAATTAAAAACAAGACGCTCGCGAATTTTTTTTGGCTATGCCTTTCGACAAGGAAAATAATGTGCTTTAATTTCAGCTTAACCCTGGAAGTCAGATCACTGCATCGGCTCGTGTCTTTATGTGCACGAAACAAGCTTAAGTTTAAAAAAAGTCAGTCTTATACTTTTAAAATGTTGTTGCGATTTGATGGCCTGTTTAATTTGAATATTTAGACATTGATGAGTGCGCCGAAGGTACACACAACTGCAGCAATAATACGTTCTGCACCAATAACGAGGGATCTTACAACTGCACTTGTAACCCGGGATATTACGGAGATGTAGAGAACTGTGAACCGGGTAAGTCTGGGTTGCTAAGGGAGAGAAGAGGAGACCGCAATCCTAATCTCCAGGTTGTTATTACGCATGCGTCGAGCGTTTGTAGCATGCGAAGCATGGAATGAATGGAATGCACAGAACGCAATTTCATCACGCGCGATTAGACCTTCTATCACTCGTAATCTGATCACGGGTGTTTTGACGTATCTCTCACTTGAAACAGGACGCAAAACACAATAGCAGTCACCGATGGAGCAAAAGGGTTTTGACCTTCGATCGTTGTCGCCCGCACTCTTTAACCTTTGGTTATATATTGCTAGCTATTTTTATAAATTATTTGTTAGCCTGTAACCCGCTCGAAATTCATCTTGTGGGGAAGTCCCCAATAATAGTTCACAGAACAGCGTCTATCCTCTATACTTGTAAACATTGCTTCGAGCGGTTAAATTCGATCAGTTTAATATACAAAAAAATCAGAAAACTCTGTTTTTAGACTCTTGTTGTTTCTTTTTTTCTCTTATGGTTAAAAACATCAACGCTTAAGAATTTCCATATGTTCTAAAACCTTGGCGAAACACCGCGTTCTGACGCCCGCCCAGCAATTTTGTTTTGCTTTATATTCACCTCCTCAGTAGAGCTGAGATTATAAAAGTTGCTCAAAATAATATACTATAATCATAAGGGCCATTAAAAATTTAAGAAATTTCCCCTACCGTAAACCTAAAATGTCCTAAACGGTTCATGAAACTTAAAACGATATAGTCGTTCATGACTTACGTTGGATCTCAGCTTCGACTCAGTTATATTAGGTGGTGGGTAATCGACGGCCTTCGAGAAATGGTTGGCCTACCTCTTACAGTTTATCTCTTTGTCTGTCTTCTGTGTGATGCAGTTTCATCCTGCAAGGACATCTTTGACAAGAATATGTAAGTAACAAAATTTCATTGGTACTCTTTGATACAAAACCCTTTGACATGTGTAAATTACGGAAAGTTCTCTTAATGCTCCCAATTAGAGATGCAATCAGTTTCTATATCCTTAATTGACCACTACAGAAAAAAACATAACATACCATAATACTCTTTGTTAGTCACTCCAAAATTTTGCATAAGCATTGTCTTCAGTTTCACTTGGAGCCATTTTGACTCGAAACTGAAGACATGAATGCTTATACTGATATTTTGGAGTGACTAACAAAGAGTATTATGGTATGTTATGGTATTTTCTGTGGTGGTCAATACGGACACCTCATGAAATTAAAGGAAATTAAGGACTTGTATGCAATGCATCACTAATTTGCCGTATGAATATCCCAAATCCTGATATCACAAAAGACAGAATGCTATCTTATCGTGCCATTTTTTTTCCGCTGTTTCCAACATCTTCTGCCATCTCGCAGGAACCAGAAAAATCTAGCACTGAGGCTACGAATGCTTATTAGGCTTCCAATTGCATTACGGTTTTCTTTTAGTCAACTGATCAATATATTCGTTTTGTTTTGACTTTTGGTACATCTGATTGAGTCAATGTATTTTTGCATCTTATTACATTGTTTTTATATAAATATATATTGGTAGAAAACAGTCTAATTTGCAATTTGAACTTTTTAAGATCCAATGAAAGCAAAGCGTACCCACTTGTTGTGGAAGATGAAGTTATTGACATTTATTGTCCGATGACCATGGCAACGACTTCAAATGGAGAATGCAGTGATGGTGGATGGACGCTGATCATGAAGATTGATGGTAATCAGGTAGCTGACTTGCATTATCTATGGTTGCTTTCATTTTCAGTTTTTGATTTTAAATGTCTCTCGATTTCCATTTTCATGTAAAATAACTGTCCGTACCTTAGTCATCTATAAAAACAAGCTAATAGCACAAACCCACTTATATTATGTTTGCAATCATCTTAAGTTAATAGTGTACTTGTAAGCTTCTGATTTATATTCTGTACTCCAGTTAATCTCAGCATTGTTTTAAACGTAACTTTTCTTCTGTTCTTTACCTTTATTTTTTTACAATTTATGTACCGATAAGTTTAAAAACTTTTGTTGACTTGTCAATTTAATAGCATTTAGAGTGCGTATTAGACACTACCCAGCTAGACTAGCCTTAAGATCTGAATTAACCAATAAAAATGAAATGAAAAAATGAAACTAATTTCTTGACAGAGTGCTATAATGTTCTTGACTAATGAATGACCGTTCATAATAGCATTCCTATCATATTAAGACGGAATCCATCGGGAAATTGGGTAATTTCAATTTTATATCGCATTTTTTTTTTACACTTTTCAAGTGCTATAGATGTAATTCGTAGTAACACCAAAGACAATTTCTTATGGGAGCCCGAGAAAATAAATGTCAAATTTCACATGAATTGAGAAAGCACACTCAGGTAAAATCGTCATAGGTAAGATTTCACTTTGTGAATTTTGAAGCTTTTGAAATTTGTTTTCTCGGGCGCCCATATATAAGACCCTTTTTCTCTGGAGTAATATTTCATGTAACTTATTACATTAATTTTATAGCCCTCGAAAAGTGTAAAAAAAAAAGAGAGCAATATGCTTGAAATTATTCTGGTACAAGGTTTTTGTCCACTGGAAATTAAATTTTCCTCAATTTCCTGGTGGATTCCGTCTTAAGGTAACTTTCACTATAGGAAATATCTCGCCAGATATGTGAACCTTTGCTCAGTTATATTTTTTAGCCGGCCTCTATAACCATTCTCCTATTTATGTATGTAAGGTGATGGTTTGTTATAATTTATAACAAAATGTTCTTCCCAAAGCAAACGTTCCACTACACCTCTGCATACTGGCAAGATAAAAACACCTTCAATGTTGATGGAGGCAAGACTGGATTTGACTCACAGGAGACCAAACTTCCCTCCTACTGGAACACATCCTTTTCAAAGATCTGCCTGGGAATGAAGGTTAGCAACAAGATCAATTTTATCGAAATCACTAAGAGCGCCAGTTCCCTGTATTCACTGATCGCTGATGGGCAATACGGCAGCACCTCACTTGGTCGTGACAAGTGGAAGTCCGTAGTTGGTCCCGATGCTTCCTTACAGGTCAACTGTAACATGGAAGGTTTTAATGCAGCGTGTACCAGGACTACACACTCCAAAGCAATAATCGGTATACTAGGTAATGATGGAAACAATTGCGGGTCCTGTAACTCCAGGATCGGCTTTGGCACTGGAGGAGAACACGACGACTCTAACACATGTGGAAACGACGCTATATATGGCGGTGATAATGGGGATCAGCATATCAAAGCTATGGGATACATTTTGGTTCAATGAAATAGAACTGTCAATATATCAAAAGCAGTAAATAATGTTGATTAAAAGACTTGTTTTATCGAATGCGCTAGTTCTCTTTTGAGCAGTGACAAAAGCTTAACTCAGTTCTATATCGATCCACTCTGAGCTATGAGCACCACCAACACGAAGGAGTTTTTTATGTATTTTTATATCGAGCCTTGTTTTCATGTCAAACATGATCTAAAGTGACCCACTTAAAAGGGGCGAGCTTTGTTGAGAAACCACTTAAGAGCTAATTCCCCGGAAGTAGTAATAAGAAACCACTTTGTTGGAATAAATTTGGCTAGTTTTAATCGAACAATTAGCAAAATTCAAACACAGCAGTAAACATTTTCGTATATGATGTATTGTTCTCAAACTCATTAATAATTCATTAAGAAAATACAAAGGAAATTAATGTTTAATGAGTGTTTGGAAATCGGATGAAACACTGCTTAGTCTTTGCATCCTTAATTTCTCCTTCAAAAATGATTTTGTTTGAGAAGAAATATCAAACATTCGACACAGTGTTTCATCACCAGATGAAACACCTCGAAGTTCGTCAAAAATACTCCGCTGCGCGTCGTATTTTCAACTCTCTTCTCGGTGTTTCATCTGGTGATGAAACACTGCATCTCATGTTTGATATATTACTTCACAAATGGGGCGACAAAATACCGCCAGCCTTAAAAAGTGATACTATCGAAGCGACAGGATGATGGGAGGTGGTGAAATGGGGAGGAGGCGGGAAAAACGGTCATAGCTGATATTATATGCTAAACTATAGGCTAATTAACCGGTATTGACTGCAGTAATTCCAGAATAAAGTATTTCCCTTTAGAATTTTAAGTCGGGGCAGCTTTTTAACAGAGCATGTTGTTAGGGTAAAGTCGTTAGTGGAGACTCGCCTCTTGCCATGCAGTCTAGATCTCTTAAAGTGAAAAACGTGGGGAAAGCTGGACCGGCGGGAGAAGACGCCTCCCTTACTTTCGGATAAAAGCCAGCAAGGGAAGCAACAAGCGGAAATACCGACCGCTGCCTACAAAGCTAAAACTTGTTTCGCATCAAAGAATGAAATTCCACAAATAATGGTCCAGTTTTGTTATTTGAAACTCGATTGTCTGTCCGTGTTGCAATGGATGGCAGGGAACTGGGCGCGTGTATTGAAACTTGAAAAAGTACGAAGAGCCTGCAAAAGCAATAATTTACTTACTACATTGTATTCTTCTCCATTTTTCATAATGGAGCTAACAGTTTTGTGGATTTCACTGGGATTCATCTCCTGGATAAATGGGCATGATTCAAACAGCGAAGGTTAGTTTATTCCCATTAGTTGTTACCCCTTCTCATTTTGGCGGTAGTATAAAGTCATCAGGTAATTAGCCTATCGTTTTCATGAAGCTTTGATGGAAAGCTGTCGGTTATTTTGCTCAGGCGAAAATAAGTCATTAGCTGTGGTCACAGTACGGACTTTTACCTCGTACGTAGGTAAAACCGATTTACCTACTGGGCAAATTCATCACAGATCTCCCGAGGTAAATTCATCTCAGTCGGGTTTTTTTTTACCTACAGTTAAAAAATTCTGGGAAGGTCATACTACTGATATCGGCTCTCAAGGTTTTCACGCACATTTGAATTTTTGGAGCTTAAATTCAAGAAGGCAAGATGCGCAGGAATCTAGCCGATCAAAGAGACGTTTTTTTCTTTTATCTCGCTGTTATTTCGCACGCTAACTCAACGTGCAAGGTGAAGACGGGCGAAGACATAGACGAATCGTTCCCCAGAAATTTCTTTCACCGCGTGAGCTATGTCCGGTTCTGTCATCAAGACAGAAGAAGACGGTTTTCTTTTTTCCCCAGCTATCGCTTTGAGGTATACGTAGCTGTCAAGGAAAAGTCTATTGTTCTCGAGACATATCCAAGCCTTAGACGATAAACTTTCCCCGAGGTAAGTTACCTAGGGAGAAATCGGTCTCACTTAAAAAATTAAGTTTCCCTACGTAAACTGTCAACAAGTCGAGTTTACCTAGGTAAAAAGTTTGTAGTGTGACCACAGCTATTAACACAGTTACAAAAAGGTTATTGGGGCTGCAATTTTATATTTGTTCACATTACTATGATATCTACATAATTTAACGTATTAATTAAATACACAAAATAGCTTTGTCTTAATTTTGTGCCTGAAATTCGAGAGAAAATCGTCGCTGTTGTTCTTGTTTTGTTTTTCAACCAAACATTCTATCTCTATAAAATAGTTTGAATAATATTGCAATGAGTTGAGAGCTACGTTTATGTATAAATTGGCCATCATTCTATGGCAAGCATGCATAATTGGAAAGTTGCAAACATTTAGCAGGTGCAGCAGGTCTTTTGCAATGCATCATTCACCACTGAAATTACTGGAAACTGTCTAAAATCAAGAACTAGATAATAAGACCAGAAGGCTGCTCACTCTGGGCAAAATGCACCACCCCAAAGCTGATGTGGACAGATTTTCCTTCCAGTAGAGGGAGAGGCGGATGAGGCCTTACCCAAGAGGAGTTGTCTTACAATACTACCACTATCGGCTTAACAGCATACCTTACATTTACCAATGATTCACTCCTCCGCCTTTTCCAACGACACGAAAGTAGGAAGAGGCTCCTACTCGATCTCAAAGGAAGCTGTAAAATTCAAGAAAGAATTGGACCTCAAAAAGCTGCAACCTGAAGGTGATTCAGAAGAAACAGCGGATACAAAGAGAATCAAGAAAGGTGCAAAACATCAGGGCTTGCAGCAAATGCAAATGGGTTAAGTCCTATGGTCTCAAGGCCGAAACAGAAGGAATCATTATAGCTGCACAAGACCTTGCCGCTCAGATGCGGTCAATAACTCTTGCAGGCAGTTGAGAGTTTTAAATTAATTCATTACAAATCCGTCTCTGATATTAGAGAGAAAACAAGTTAAAAAGAATAAAATCTCGTATTCTTAAATTCCTAATTCTTTAAAAAAGTTCCTTAAAAAAAAAAAAAAAACTTGATTCGGGCAGACTCTAATATTATCGATGACTCTTCGACGGCCTCAGTCTGAGAGATACATAATTAAGGCAGATGTTGAAGGAAAGAAAAACAATAAAAATGTGACGGTGGTGGTGGCGAAAAAAAATAGAGATCGATACAAAGAAAATGTGTTAAAAGAAACGTCAATGCAGGGTCGATGTGGGGTCAATGTGTAGTCGATGTAGGGTGGATTAGGGTCGTAGTGGGCGTGGGGAAAAATATGAAAAAATTAGGAGGAGGAGGAGGGAGGGGTAAGTGCAAAAAATAGCTAGTTTGATTTTTTTTTAAAAACCGTGTTAATAGATTCCTTTTAAATCACTGAGTACGTTTCTCTTTTTGCAGTTACTGCGTCTTAAGAAACGTTTCTGGTTTCATTGCGAGTATTTATAAGTCGCGTGTTTCTATTAATCGTCCTTAAGCTGTTTTATTGTTTGTTTGTTTTTTATAATAATAAGTAAAGGCTGTCCCTTGGGTTCCTTGACTTAAACGGAGCTCGAAACAAGACAATAAGCTTACCAAAGAATTTTAATACCGAGTCAAGATTTAAATAAAGAGTTTTTAGCTCCACTTTTTGTGCGTGTCTTATAACCGATTGTTTGCGCTAAAAAGAGGACATAAACTGTTTTTCGCGTTGGTAGGTAACAGCTCCTTCTTCTGTTTTTTTTTTTTTTTCCATAGACGTTCAAACCGGGCTAAAGTTACTTACCGGGCAAAACTAGGCAAAACTTTTGTCGCTATTGAAAAGTACAGTTATTAAAATAAAAACGGCTATCCACTTATTACTATGCCAAGGCACACGTAGGGCACTTAAAAAGTATGCAGGAAGGCCAACGGAAGGCACTTAATTAGTATGCAGGATGGTACAGGGAAGGCACATATGAATGTCAATTAAGGGAAGGAATTTGCTTGGCCCAAAAAAGGATAACTCCTTGCCTTCACTTTTCCCTTTCCGCTGGTCCCAACTAATCCCGAGCATGACCTGACAGCCTGGACCAGTCTGGCTTAGCCTCCCCGCAGACGTCCTTTGGGGTTCGTTTGTCACGCATTCATTTCTTCCGTGGGGGAGAAATGAATGCGTGACAAACGAACCCCAAAGGACGTCTGCGGGGAGGCTAAGTCTGGCTAAGAGGATTGCAACCAGTTGAATTCAGACTTGGTTAATTAAATTCCACTTTCGGCGAAACCAGGCCATGAGTGTCGACCATTTAAGAAACACTTTCAATTTCACCTATGTTTGCCAGAAAAAAATCCAGTCGTTCACAACATTGCATACATGAAAAAAATATTATTAATCATAATAATAAATAATGAGAGATAATGATGATGCTTATAATATGATCATATTGATAATAAGGAAGAAAAAAACTAAACAAATTAGGCAGGAGGTTTCTCTCCTCCTTTTCTGTTGGATACCGCACTGTGTTTACTAGAATTTTGTGCACGTTTATCATTTTAATGAGGTCTTCAGTTAATAAGACAGTTATCCAAGGATGATTAGCACCACCCTGTGGAGAACTTGCAAATAGCCTGCGTCTTCGACACTGTACTCCGCCTTTATACCAATGGTTTACATGATGGGGGGCCGGCTAGGGATCCGTTATTACAAATGGTGACAGACTTTTTATTTAAAAGTGGGAAGCGGTTTATTACAACGAATTGGGACGGATATCGTGAAATGCGACAAATTTATTGTAAACTGCTAGAGATTATTACAAAGTGCGATGATTATTACTGAAAAAACCGAGCGATAGTACACCACGACAAAAGTAACATAAGGCGTAAAATAAAAATTTCATAATTATTGTTTTACATAAACACTATAATTGTGCCATGTGCGCGTGCAATTTGGCCTTCTTTGCCTTTCTCTTCAAGTCTACAAGTCCAATCAAAGGATGAAACTGATCTCAATTCGCCAAAAGCAACAACAAACAAAGATATTTTCCTTTCTTTTAGTATGGGTTAA